AGAGAAGAGAAGAGTAAGTGAAAAATCCTGGCAATTATAGAGATGAAAGAGGGAGTTTCAATACCATACAGTAGAATGCAGCACTGAAAATTCTGAGTTAATGGCAGCTGAGTTAGTGTACCTATGCATGGAAGTGTTAGATACTGTACGCAGGGACTAGTTTGGGACTAAGAAGTAGTATAGCCCAATTAGCAGAGCATTGCACCAGATTAAATCATAAAGTGATCCCTAAGAGCTAATAATTAGTTCAGATATTGAGCTGTATTATCACAGTTATGTTTCATTCATGCTATATGAAAACCCTGAACATGGATGGTTCCACCACAGTGCTGGTGTAGGTGGTATTGTCTTGAAAATTTCTTCAGTAATCTCCACTAGGTGGTATGGACAAGTCCAGTGACGTCCACCAGCATAGCTTTAGCATAGTATTTCAAATTTGCATTGTGCCTCTCCGACTGGGGTTCGAATAAATAAATCCTAGATTGCAATTAATATTCCTCCAGCTTTGCAGTTACAAACACTTGATGATAGTACACTTATGCTTACTACTATTTTAGGAATTCTGTATTTGTATTCTATAGGTCTTCTATCTTTTAGTATGAATTACAATTATACTCATACCTGAATTGTAATTACATTACAGATAAGCCTTTTAGAGCCTCTTGAAGTGCACAAGGAAAGAATTTTTTCAAAAACTTATTTGCATATTTCCATATTAATAGGATTATACCATTTAAGCGCAAGAACACACAACGGTAGGTATCAAATGGAGCAGTGACATAACCAGCTATCAGATACTGTCCCCTGCCTTCAGCTCAAAGGGAACTAGAAATACCCCACTGTCCATGGGTGCTGCTAAAAAAATCCAAAAAACCAGTCAGTTGATTAGGAACTTGGATAACCCATGTTAAAGGTCAGTCTTAATAGCATGGATCAGGATAGGTAAATACTGAAGAAATGCAAACTTGATTCAGAGAGAGTTGTACATGTCAAGCTCTAACTACTGCTTAAGAAATTCAGTTATTAATGGTGGCCCCAACCTTCCCAAATCTCTACTTGTGGCTAACAGTGACAGAGCCTTTCTAGAGCCATATGAATGGAAGCGGGATTTTTTTATATCTTCAAATCCAATTTTAGGCTTGAACAAAGTCAGCTGTCGTCTGCATGGCAGCTGAGAAACAACCATCTCTTTGCTTGTGTTAGCACGTACATGCAGTTGACTTGCAGTGTGTGAATGACCAGACCAAGCATACCAGTTATGTGAATGAGAATTGTTTTCAGTGTTCATTATCCTCTGTTCAGTGTTCCTGGGGATCCTGAGGCAGTCTAAAAATCTGAAGCATTCCTACAAGAGGAAGAGGAAAGCTGAAGGGCCCTTGTGTGCCCATAGGTATTAGCATTCTCCTTTTTCCCCCTGGTTCTAGTCATGGTTTGAATGTGCTGCATAAAGAATATTGGCTCAGTCTACCCACCAGTATTCTGGGTGTTTCTGTACACAAGTAGTTCTTTGCAAGCACTAAACCTGAATCTATGTTATAGGTAGCTTTGTCTCGAGTCTTGCACCAGTCCCTGTCCCTTGGACAGACCTTGGACCTACGTTAGAGTCCTGTCCCTTGCTGTTCTTGCCTGGGCTTCTTGAGTGGACGCTGGCCTGCCTCCCTGCCTCACCTTGTACGACAAACCACTGAAAGGCTTATGGAGCCGATTGCTCTCGCCACCTCGGCCCTCCTTAGGTATTGCAAATCTGCGTCCTGGTGAGTTAGGGGATGGCCTTGCCTGTGCTGTTGTCACCCTTGGTGCCTGGCTTTAATGGAGTGTCTCTCACTGCTCCCTGACATCTGTGGACATATACACAGATATATACTCTATAGCGTGTCTGTATAGGTATGTGTAAAATGCATCTGTGAGTAAATAAGTAACATATTATGCCTATTAGTATACTGCTTCACATCTATATTTATACGTGTACTTATATTTATTTTCTATATTCTGCATTCCCTATTATATATCCTTGCATTGGGTGTAGGTGCCCAGGCGCTGGCAGGGGGACTGCAGGGCGGCCTCTGTGAGGAGAGGCAGGGGCTGCCCCGAACCGGACACAGCCGGCTCCAGCCGGCTCCAACCCACCCACCACAGCGCGCGGCCGAGCCCCTCGGCCACGGCTGGGGTGCCTTGGGGAAAATGCATTTCGGAAAGGCCAAAACCACCGCATAGCCTGTGAGGTGAGAGGGGAAAAAGAAGTGTGGGAAACAGGCCTGCGAGCACCGAGGTGAGAGGAGCAGGAGGAGGGGGAGGACGTGCTCCAGGTTCCAGAGCAGAGAGTCCCCTGCAGCCCCTGGAGAGCCCACACTGGAGCAGGTTTTTCCTGAAGGACTGCAGCCCGTGGAAGAGCCCGCGCTGGAGCAGGGGAACAGTGTGAGGAGGAGGAAGGGTGGGCAGAGGCAAAGCATTACAGACTGGTCCCCCTGTGTCTCTCAGGGCATGTGTGAGGGAGTGAGGTAGAGGAGCTGGGAATGAAAGAGAGGAGTTGAGCCTGGGAAGGGAAGGTGGGGGAAGATGTTTTAGTTTTATTTGTTTCTCACTATCCCAATCTATTTTAACTGGCAATAATTTAGGTTAATTTTCCCCCAGTAGGATCTGTTTTGCCCATGACAGCAATTGTCCTTGTCTTTATCTTGACCCATGAGCCTTTTCATCTTATTTTCTCCCTTTGTCCTGTCGAAGATGGGAAGTGAGGGAGCGGCTGGGTGGGCGTCTGGCAGCCGGCCAGGGTCAACCCACCACAATTCTATAGTCTATAGTCTATATATTATGTATATCTATTTCTTTATATAGAAACCTACGTATATACAAAAATGTATATATATTTTTTTTTGTATTAGCACTTCCTGGTCCAAAGGAAATGAGCAGCCAGTCGGAGGGTGGTCTGAGATCATGTGGGTATGATGGTTTCAAAAAAATGACAACCATCCAATCACAGAGAAGTACGAAAGCATGTGGGGTATGAGATAAAAAATGTGGGTCTACCCACACTACCTATGGGTATATTGTAGGCAGGAGCGTCCCGCTCTGACCCCTTTCTGACATAGACAGGAAGGGGAAGTGTTGCTATCAGCCAGTCACAGGGCAGCCTGTGAAAAAGTGGTGGATGGTGTTTTACAAAATGGCAACCCCTGGGGGCAGAAATAGGTGAAGGGAACAGATGAGGTGACTGGAAGATGTACAGGACTTTGGGGCAAGTGGGCCACAAGGTGGGCAGTAGGGGCAGGGCTTCCTCTGCTGTTAGGGTGGCATCAACCTGTCCCTGCTCATGCTGGGTGAGGGTTGTCCTCATGCTGCTTTTGCCCTCCACCAAGCTCCCTCCGGTCTGTCACCTCTGTGCTGGACCCTGGGGCCCCATCTGTGTGCACCACCCCAGGTGTAGTCCAGCAAAAGGGAACCATCACTGGCCTTCACATGCTGGCAGGGCTACAGGGGATGCAGTTCAAGATGTGGGCAGTCTTCATCCGACGTGGGTTTGGGCCTGCCCCGTACTGTGTGCAGGACTTGACATTTGTTCATGTTGAGTTTTATGAGATTCCTGTAGGCTTGTTCCTTAGCCTCTCCAGGCACCTCTAACCAGTGACTCTGCCCTCAGGTTTATTGACTGAGCCCCTGGTTTGGTGTCATGTGTGGACTTGGTGAGGTGCATTTCATCTCCTATTCTGAACACTGGTAAAAATGTTGACCAGGCCAAGTCCCTGGATAGAATCCTAAGAAATTATCTTGCCACTGGTCTCTAGGTTGCACATGAATTTTTCCCCTTCCCGATAAGCTCTTCCTCCTGTATTTTTCATGTGAAAGCTACCCAAAGCACACTAAGTGTAATTAGTGTGTTCATTTCTGTTTGCTGAAATCTCACAATTTTAATAGTACAGCCACCAGGGCTGATAGTCTGTCATTTGCTTTGAAGTTTTTGAATTAGCCTCGTCAGTAGTGTTTATCTTCTTTAGAAGGGTTTCTCACTGGAAAAATTTCTCATTACATGCAGGACTGTTAAGGTTTCAATTGCTGGTTTGGAGTTTAGGAGTTTAGGTACAGCCTTTTGGCATGGAATCAGAGGAAATGACGTCTGGAAAGGCTGGTACACAAGAGGGTATGTTTCTGGCTGTTATTGGAAGAAATTTCTGTTTTCTTACTTTTCTCTTGTTTTCTGCATGACCTTAAGAGATGGTGAAAACTGTCGTGCAAACATATCAGAAGTCTGTCTTTCTGATCTGTCTGTCAGAGTTCTTCATACATCATTTATTTTCACCAGTTCTTTAAATGTTCAACATGTTACCAATGGTGGAAAGATGGCTGAGACATAGTATGCATCAAAGTAATGGGTATTCTGCCAGCATTTAAGCATTTAATCAACTAAATTCAACTGTGCATTTTGTTTTCCAATTCTCATGACTTTTCAATTTTGCTTTTTAAAACTATTTTAGGGGGCAGGAGTATGTATTTTGAGACTTGAATTTTTTTCTTTATCTGAATGGTGATACTAGAAATACTGTGGTAGTAGCTATTTCTTCTGTATTTATGTATGTTTTGAATTCATGGAATGTATTCAATGGAACATTTTTCATTGAAATTACTTTTCCTCACTCCAGTCCTATGTCTAATTCTACTTTAATGAATGCATTATCAATTATGATACCTTTCTACTGCAGCACATAAGTTATATAGTAATCAGTGAAACATGGAACATTCACTATGACAAGCTTCTATGGGAAATCATACTTGATAATATGAGTTTCAGCTTTTTATTTAACTGTGTTCAGCCTTTCTGTCATTTTTATTCCATGTTTCTTGAAAGTTATTGAATGCAAAATGATGATATTCACTTGACTAGGAAGAATGAACTGATTAAACACAAAATAGTTGTGATGAAAAAAGTTATATGAATGAGAGCTAAAACTAGATCTAGATTTGCAGTTCAACTTGATGAGTCACTAAACACTGTTTTCTTTTTGCAGGTTTCTCTTGGTGCTGATTTGTTTAATATTCAGTGTACTGTCTACTATAGAGCATTATTCTGAATTTGCCACTGGAACACTTTTCTGGATGGTAAGTGAACTTTTTTGTAAAAGACTCTAGTCAATTTGACTAAATCTATATTGCTTTAGGTGAACAAGGGAGATAACTGTTTAAAATCCTCATGCAAAGCATGCTACTAGGACATTTAAAATATTACCTGCTTTCATTAAAGGAAGGTCATAGTTTAATGGGGATGATTATTTTCTAGACCTGTAAACTGTGAGGGTACTTGATAGATTAACAGTTTTTATATTCTTGCTTTTCATAAGGTATCAAACTGTACCCTGTAGCTCTTATAGTAGACAACTGGTGTTCATCAGTCTTATGCAGTGTGGAACAGGATATTGTATAGGCAGGAATGTATTTTTGAAACATTTCTTCTAAGTCTTATTGTAAAAAATTGGCCAAGGACCATGCTCTTCAGAAGTATCTGAATCTCAGGGGCTAAGTGATTTCTGTCGGAGTAGTTTGCCAGTATATAGAACAGAAAGGAAGAGCTTCTATCACACCTCTATGCATCAGTGATTTGGCTTTGAAGTTGGTGCTTGTTAACTGTTATGGCTGTTAGCAATCCACTAGGGTGTTGGATTCTTCTTGAGCATACATTAAGTTTTGTACTTGGTATTTTGTAAAAGCATAAAGACATTGTGCTGCTTATCTAATATCCTTTTCTTGATGTTAGGATCTTAAGTAGTAATTTAAACAACAGGTGTTGTGATAGAAAAATCTGCTCACTTGGAGGTATACAGAAGTGACTTATTGTTTTCACAGTAGCCAGGGAAAAAATTTTTTATCACTGGACTGAGGGGCTAATTTACCGATGAAATGTACCTGAACCATGTTACCAGTCCTGAGCTATTAAGTCTCTTAAAAATGTGAAATCACATCCAGCAACCATCTAACAACTGTTGTAACATACATACAAAATTTTTAAGTGTTAATTTGAGGTAGGTGGGAAATAAAAATACAAATAATTTTCATGAGGACTCCACACAATGTTCCTTCTCTGTTCCCCCCTGCCCCTCTTCACCTGTAGAAAGTTAAGAATGGCAATGAAGCATCCTTGATAAAAATGGAGTAAACCACTTTTAAACAGTTGCGTACAATATCTGTATTTCAGCCACTCATCCTCTGATCTCAATGTGTGATAATCTCAGTATTCTTATTGTAATTTTTTTTTGCCAAGTGGTGACTTCTAATGTGATGGATTTGGGTTTTCCATCTGGTCTGAAAATAAAAATCAGTTACTTACTTATTTGTTTTCCTGTGGCTTAGACTACATTAGTATATGCAGCTTTTGAATGCCATTGACTAAGCCATCATTAGGATCCCTAGTTATTTGGGGATTTTGATTAATGTTAATCCTGTAACAAATGTTGCTTGGCCTTTAAGCCATATTCAGTGTCAAGCAAAGTGCAGTATTCTGCCAATCATACATAGTCTTATACTCACTGAAGGATTTAGAGTGATTATAGCTCAGTATAACCACCACCAAACAGTAATACTGGCAAGGATTCAATGCTTAGCTGATTGTTTTTGTGCAGATGGTATGTGCATGTACAGACACATATTATTGTTGGACAAAAAATAACTAGATGAAGACAGATATGGGGTTCACATAGTGCCCACATAGCACTGCCAGCTATTTTTAAGTGATGTTATTGTCAAACAAATGAATCATGCATAGTCAGTGGCAGTGCTGGAACAATTTCTTGGCCACCTTGTGTTACAGCCTTACCCTGGAGGATAGATACCTCTCTTGAGTTTATTTTCCTCCCTGCTGTTTCCTGAGCTTCCTTCCTAGAAATGGCCAACACAGAGGTTAGCTGTTCTGCTGGCTACTGTAGATTCACTTGCCTAGAAAGCATTTGTCTTAAAACTGTAAGTATTACAGTTTGCTCTGAAATAAATTCACTTCAGTTACAACACTTGAAATATTGCTTTAGAGCTAATTGAATTAGTTCTTTTTCACAGAGTTGTGAGGTTTCTTGTTTCTAGTAGCTGAATGGTTAGATTCCTGTTTGGAGCACTTCTCCCCACCTTTACCTGAAGGAATTTCAAACTGCATCTCCCACTTTACCCAGGAGAGTGCTAACCCCACAGAAGCCTGGGGGTCATTGCTGTCTTTGTAATAGATCATTACTCTGATCTATTTCATACCATAGTTGACTGTTCATGGAACCAGAGAGAGTTTCTCTCACCAAAATATGAAAACACATGCATATGTATTCTGCCTTCCATGCCACTCTGTTCTCTTGAAACTATTTGAGAACAGTGGAGACTGCCAGTATGGTGAGAAAAAAAATTGGACCAAAACATCTATTGGATCAAGTTCAAAATGAAATTTATTTGTTTCTGTCCTAACTGAAGGAACCTGTAATTCTTTGCATAGCCCTGTTAGTGTGTCAGTAGCAAATAAATACTAGTCTGTGATGCTTGTGGTATTTTGCCACTTGTAGAAAAACTGCTTTTCGTTATATTGAGGTACATTAACAGTTGGGAAGGATCAACTTCAAAATTGTAATGTTGAAAGTTGGTAAGGCCTGACAAGAAGAATAGCATTTGATACTTTTAGACGCTTAAGTGTTTTGTATTTTCTTAGATAGGGTGAGATGATATGTCAAATATAATTTTGGATAATATGTGTCACTGAGGTAGATATGGCACATTAGTAACAGATGTAACTGCAGATGTGTCCTAAGCCACTAAAGTCTTGTGTTTTAAAGACTAAATTTTTTAATGTTCTTAATACATCTGGGTGGTGTAAGATAATTTCTTGTCAAGTGTGAAATATATCATCATTCAGACGAGCTATGTGAATATGCCAAGGAGAGAATACCATATTAAGAAGGCCCTCCAAAGCAGTGTTTGTAGTTTGAATGGAAAAAGGGGGCTGAAGAAGCAGTTGCTGGAACTTAAAGTAAAAAAAGCCTCAAACCCTTATTCGCTGCGCCCCACCCCCCGCCAAACATATGTTTTCAAGTCTCTGAAAATTCAAGTGAATTCTGGAGGAAAAAAAATATGACTCTTTGTCCCTGTGTTTGACTGTTAAGGCCAATCTGTCATCTTTGAGACTATTGAAGACGTTGCATAGCCACAGCTTCTGATACAGGCTGATGCTATGCCTCCCCAAATGCTGTAAATTGCTCTATTTTGATGTCCTTGCTTGGGCTTAAAGGAAACTTCTGTTCTTTGCATTTATGAAGAAAAGACAACATGTAAATTTCCATCTGATTATCACTGTGGTAAAATCAGTTTACTTCTGTGGTAGTAGGACCGGTAAAATTGCTTGTCTTGAACTTGTAAATGCTGTCATTTGAAGGACGTTTTTGTTCTCATACTACCAAATATTTTGTGTATTCACTGCCACTCTTGGAAGGGTTTTTGCCAGCTGTCTGTGATAATCTAGTGTACATACATTGTATGATCATTGTTAATTCCTGGTTTTTTTTTTTTTTTTTTTTTTTTTTTTTCTCCTCTGACTATTTAGCAACTCAGTAAATGAGAGAAGTGACAGTGGCACTGGCACAATGAATCATGCTGATAAACACCAACAGAATAGATAGTCAAGAACATAATTCCTCCTGAAGTTCTTATACTTGCAGAGAGAAGCTTAGAGTTTCAAATAGTGTTTAAAATGAATCACAAGACTTCTAGGTAGAACAACCATGTACATGTTATTTCACAATCCACAAAGCTTAAATGCACTCGCAGTTGTTTTTTATTCAGATTGCTACATGTAGTGTGGTATGAAAAGGAATCTCTAGTTTCCCTGGCTTTCCTTGGTCCTGGATCTGTACTGTTGGGAGCTTTTTCACTTGTCTATCCATCAGTATTTAGGATCTGCTGCATGAGAAAGTTCTTGCACACTGTCTGCGGAAACAAGCACAATGGAATGGGCCACAGTTGTCAATAAAGTATTTGCAACACTTAAGGCAATACTACATTACCATCTGCCTTCTAAACTTGCAGCGCCTGCCCCTCTCTTCAGCTCCTGCAGATGCTGGAATTTTCCAAGAAGGAAGGGCAAATAGGGTTTTCCAAAATAATTGCGGCCACTCAAGTTACAGATTGCATAATGGGAGGGAATAGCATCTCCACTTGTCATAGTATGCAAATGCTGAATCTCACAGAACTCTCAAACCATGTGCCTTGGTGGTTTCTTCTTTTCATAGAGTCAGAAAATAATTTGGGTTGGAAGGGACCTCAGGAGGTCTCTAGTCCAACCTCCTGCTCAAAACAAGGTCAATGATGAGATCAGACCAGGTTGCTCGGGGCATTATACCATTAGATCTTGAAAACCTCCCAGGATGGAGACTGCATAGCCTTTCAGAGCAGCCTGTTTCAATGCCTGACCATCCCTCATAGTGAAGAAGGTTTTCCTTATATCTAGTACGAACCTCCCTTCTTTCAATTTTCGTTTGTTGTCTCATTCTTCTGCCGTGGTCTGTTTTCTTTCATCTTCCTGCCATGCACTGCTGTTAAGAACCTGGCTCCATCTTCTCAATTACCTCCTTGTATGTATTGACAGGCAGCTCAGAGGTCCCACATGCATTCATTTCTCCAGGCTGAGCAAGTCCAGTTCCCTCAGCCTCTCCTTATAGGGCATGTGGTCCAAACACTCTGACCACCTTGATGGCCCTATGCAAAACTTGCTCCAGTTTATCAAAGTCTTTCTTGTAGTGGTGGAAAAAAACCAGGTGCAGCATTCTAGGTGCAATCTATTGCTAAGTAAAGGGGGATAATCACTTCCCTTGTTCTCTTGTTACCTTTCAACACTTCCTTGTATTTGGAGGAGGTTGTCTTTAAAGACCTGCTAGCTATCCTGAGCTTGTTGACCCTTCAGAGCTGTCTCCCGTGGGATCCCACCTATCAGTTCCCTGAATAATTGGAATTTGCTCTCCTGAAGTGTAGGGTCTGTATTCCCTTTAGGATCTTGAATTACATTATTTCTTGGATGCTACATCCAAGGCATTGTCATTGATTATTATGTCCCCAATTAATTTTTCCTTGTGTATCTAAACAGCAAT